AACATCAGAAAGAGAAAGACACTTCTCAGCTCTTTTCATCCAGCTCAGAAGCCTTCACGCTATTATCACTTTGAATAGCTCCTGCCGGGACCTGCAGCCTGTCTCTGTGCTTCACACTCTCTGTGTACACCGAGTGTCGTTCTCTCTCCCACAGGCCATCAATCACATCCAGCCCCTTTTGAGTTTTTCTACAAGAGGGAGTCCCTCACCTCAACTCAGGTTTACATTCTTATTCCACTCTATTTATTTTGCTAAACCGCAGGAGTTTGTACTCAAACCAGCATTGTTCCACCCAACATGGCTTTTCTCCCCACAGTTGAGCAGAATATCTCTTACTTTGAAGTAAGACTGAGTATTCTTGTGATAAAACTCAAGAAACTTGCAGATGAAAGTTGGCCTTCGCTCGTCTCGAGAAATCAAATATCAGATAACTTCTTGCAGAAGATTTGGAAATCTATAAAATACATTAACTTGACATGGATAATGTATCGCTTTGATACAATGCTCAGCACATATGAAGAAAAGCTACGATTCTTTCAGTATGTAACTTACAGCAACGCCAAGTCCTAATAGTTGTGCAGAGACCACACAGTTGGTTTGGGATTATAGAGTCTGCTGCAGTGAAAGGGAGTTGCACACATTGATGTCGGCTTGAATATAATGACTCAAGGGTGACTGGCGTCTGATGAATTTATAAGCTCATTCTCCAGTGCCCTTTCAGCTTTTTAGTATGTTTGCTTTATCGGCGGTCAATATCTGTGCCAGTTATGCGGCTGAGCCGACGATTTCTTTAGTTGCTGGTGCTGCCTATGGCCCCGCAACATGAAAAACATTTAAGACCCGAGTCGTTAATTTAAACACAGGCAACATGACGTCACTGTCACCAGAGAGCCGGAACGTGGGGCTTTCTTCTTCCCTTACAAGGCTGTGCAACTCACAGCTAAAGTTTGAAGAAGTTGGCATTTAAAGTCTGTCACTGTGTCAGAAAAACACAACAAATTCAATGACAGCAAATCGGAAAAAAAAGTTGAGATACCAAAAACAAGAAACACAATTCCAAGGAAACTAAATTCAAAAAAGCAGGTTATAGCACTGATTCACACCACGTTAGCTGAATGGTAAGACAACCTATTTATTCTGTTTATGAATTATTCAGAGATAGTTAACCTGACTGCTAGCCTTGTTAACACACCGTTTAAATGAGCTACTTTGGCATTGAATCATAGACTGTATAGAAGAGGTGGACATAGTCACTCTGATGTCGCCCATTGGTTTGTGGACTGCAGTTTAGAAGCCTCAAGTTTGTCATTTTCGACATCTTGGCTTTTGGAGCCAGTTCCAGTTCCCAGTGCTCTTTAGGCGACAACCTCTGGTTCTGAAGAGCGAAGCCAATGTGGAAGTATCTTAAACTTGCATTCTTTCTAATGGCCATCAGGGGGCGACTCCTGTCTGATTGCATAGAAGTCTATGAGAAAATGATTCAACTTCTCTCTTGATTTATTACCTCAGTAAACATTGTAAACATGAGTTTATGGTCTCAATCGCTAGTTTCCAGTCTTCTTCAATACAGCATGATGTTCATTTAGTAAATTATGGTCCATTTAGAGTCAAATAGACCATAAAGGGGAGTATGCTAAAGGGCGTGGCTACCTTGTGATTGACAGTTCGCTACCAGGTCAGTATACGGCGTCCAAATATGGTCACTACCGTACACTGGTTGGTGACGGCTGTTATTCAAGATGGCGACGTCCAAAACACCAAACTCTTGGCTTCAAAACGGCAGTCCAGAAACCAATGGGTGATGTCATGACGACTACGTCCACTTCTTCTATACAGTCTATGCTGCTATCTAACGATATGACGTCAACGAGCACTAGGGCAACACTTCAGCAGCGACTCGCCGACAATGTAGCTGACCACAGTTGGGCGTTTTGTTGGCCTTTTGCCGCTTGTATTGTGAACACAGCATTAGCCGTCATGGTATGTGGTTATTATATCTTGGCTATGAACCAATCAGATTGCTTGATTTAAGGGAACCAGTTAATAATCCCTATTTGATTTCCTTGCTTATTTACATCTGACTTGATTTAAAACTAAATTACTTTAATTTGACTTGTTTATTTGAATCCCTTATAATACATCACGGCTCCACAATGAAAGAGGATTACATCATTAGCCGTCTTTCTCATCATCTTGCACTCTGCTTACAACAGGGGTTTTTCTGTTTAACTCCAACCATCTTAGTTGTAATATAAAAATGGTTTGTGATGGTGTATTTGTACTGGATTAATAATACTAGAATTAGGAGCCCATTCTAAAGGCATTTTATGATTAAATCTGATATGAAGCGAAGGGCTACAGACATATGCTCTATTTTTACTTCCACTTCCTTTCTCTATGTTTTTATTCATTTCCATGTGAGCAGGTGGGTTCTTCAGGGGATTCAGTGGCCCCCGAGTGTTCATACTGCAGGTCCTGTGCTCTGTCGTATCTGATTTGGTTGAGGTCCAACGCTGTCCGTCTGAAAGCGGATCAGACCCTCAGGGAGTCCCATTGCCTCGCCAGCGCTCAGCTCTTCCTCGGTTAACAGGAAAGGATCCGCTTTCAGTGGATCAGCCTGGCTGTGGATGTGAGGAGCTGGCGATGTGTGTGTGTGTGTGTGTTTATGTGGAGATGACAAGCAAAACACCACTTTGCTTTGACACCTGAACGTCCACAGAGACAAAACTTCCACCGGTTTCAGAAGTGGTTCTCGGTACCTCCTGTCTTCACTCCAACAAAGGACAGAGCTTAGGACCCGCATAGGTGTTTGCCAGCGTGCACGGACTCTCTTCACACCCCACTGCTCCGGACTCTGTATAGAACACATTCCAGCGAGGGTGTCGGGTCAGTGTGGGCGCCGAAGGACACACAGTGCTTTTGCAGGCTGCAGTAATTTGTATAACCTCTGATTAGGCCCAGGAATGTCAACTATGAGGACACTACGGGTCCCGACAGCATCGTTTGACACTTTGGCAATCTGTCATTGCCGCTAGCAAGCAAAGCAGGCGGGTCACCACTCAAGACAAAAGCCACTCCGCCGCCTGGCCAGAGAGGGAGTTTAATGTATGAACCATCTGGATTGGGCGGAAAAGAAAGCATGTCTGTGTATCTGCATTATTTATGTTGTGTCTTTCTGTGCGATAAGCTCGCTTTGCATGACATACAGTGTAGCGTTTGTATCAGAAGATTTAACCTGATGTCATCATGAAAGGTAGCTTTTTTTACATTAAACATGTCTGCTTAAAGAAAGACGTAATGAAGGGCAATGTTTTGGAACCCTGACTTTAAACCTGTGTCTATCATCACATCAATTTGGCACACAAAGTGCAGCCTGAATGCAGAATGAAAACATTTCCTCTTTTATTTAATCTAGCAACACAACACTGACCACATGTTATAAAAAGATGTTTAAATAAATCTGCAAAATCTGGAATGGAATGAGGTAAAAGCAGAGTTATCAAAGGCACATTTCCCCAGGGTTATTATCTTAACTTCTATGTGTTATGCTCAACTTCAAAACACCATTGTACTTCTGTTGGTGTAAAAACAGAACAAAAAAGAAAGAATGGCTTTCCGCAGGAGAGCTGCTCTACACACACACACACATTAAATCATATAATTTTAGTACGTTAATAAACATATCAATTGTAGTTTTATAAGTTGCAGATATGCTTTATCTTCTCGCCACATGCACCTTTATTAATATCCCACAGGAGATTCTGTTGTTACAAAGCTGGAAGTTATGAAATATGCGTTCACACGGATCACTTGGTGGAATCATTAATTTCATGCTTCATATCCAACTCCAGGAGTTTCTTTTGTTTTTTCCCCACAAAGCTACATTGATAAGAAACAGAAACTGGCTGGGTTCTTAGGCTGTGTCATGTTGATGTCTGTGAAAAACATGTTGTAACTCGTCTTAACGATCTTCTCTTTGTCTTCAGGTTAGAGGTTATGACCAGGGTAAGTTCAGTACTTTCCAACCTGGAAACGGGCTGCAATGTAATAGCCAGGGGCTCCTTACCGTCCACCAAACGTCCACCAAACGTCCAATAAACATGCTTGTTTTTGTCACCGACAGGCTCTGATTGCGTTTGTACCTTTCGCCTGATGCAGTTTGATTGGTTTTGTGACCACGTGAGTTGGAGAGAGGAGTGCAGGTGTTGTTAGAGATTGTTGTGTTGGAGTCTTAGACTGTATATAAAAAGTGGACGTAGTCACCATGACGTCACCCATTGGTTTGTGGACTGTCGTTGTGAAGCCTTGAGTTCGTCATTTTGGCCATCGCCATATTTGTTTTTGGCCATCGCCATATTGTTTTTCTCCAACCAGAAGTGACACGAGTTCAACCGAGCTCTGAGTAACACTTTTCGAGGCGAACAAAATTTTACAATTAACTTTCATGAAGTGAAAACACACTGTGAAAGGGTTTAAGTTGTAAGATGAAAACACGGACAAGTCCCAGACCGGACAACGCCGTGCTAGTGACCTGTCAATCACAAGGTAGCCCCGCCCTAAAGCATGCCCTGCTTTTTGGTCTATTTGACTCTAAATGAACCATAATGTACTAAATGAACATCATGCTGTATTGAAGAAGATTTTAAACTAGAGACTATAAACTCATGTTTATAATGTTTGCTGAGGTAATAAATCAAGTGAGTAGAGTCATTTTGTCATAGACTTCTATAAAATCGGACTTGTTTTTGCAACCAGAGGAGTCGCCCCCTGAAGGCCATTAGAGAGATTACAAGTTTAATACACTTCCACATCAGCTTCACTTTTGCACTTTTCAGAGGAGGTTGCGGCCTGGTTGGAGTACAGAAAGCGTAGCTTGGTGTTACATAAATAAACAACCACGACATTAAAACTCTTAAGACAATATCAACAATGTGGATGTGACGCAAGATTTAAGAACGAGTCTTCTCTGAGCTAAAAGACAGATCGGATCAAGCGAAAGGTTTAGAAAAAGGGTTTATTTCTCTGTAAGGTCCTTTCCATCATGTTGTCAGACACTTACAACAATCTGAGCCTGTCAGTGGCATAAACAAGCACTTCTAGAGGACATACATTGACGGTGAGGAGTTGCCCCAAGCGATTACATTGCAGCCCGTTTAGCGGCTGCCGTCTGCAGCGTTCTCCCTCAATACTGGACCAATTTCAAAAAATTGTTGTCCCTATTAGTCACAAAAACGTGGAAAAATAGGGTTGAGAAATACTGAAATTACCCTTAAAGAGCTTTTATAATGCCCTTTAGAGTTAGAAATAAGATTCAGTAATATGAACTCTGACCTCATTCTTTGTGGGACATCAGCTTAATATAAGCATTTACATCTTTGTAAATATGGACGTGGTACTTCATCATCACATGCTGGAATACACTGTTTATCTCTGTGTATTTGAAAAAACACACATTACTTGCATATGCATTCGTGCATTCTCTTCCCCCAAGTGCACACAGCTGTAATTGTTATACATCACTAATAATAGGAATCAGTATTAATGTCCTTTTTCATATCCAGCAGAGGTAAGGTGATCACTCATATGCTGAACCTTGGCAGGTACGAGTCGTTTCTCAGCCAACAACAAATGCAAATGGATCTCAGTCCAGAATCGAACCCAATAAAAACCTCACATGTTGAACTCTAATAATAATCACACTGTCAAGGCAGCAAATGCTCCAAGTGACCCTTGTAACTATTACCAGCTCATCGCTTGAATGTTAAGGTCACCTTAAAACTGTGCGTGTGTTACACTTGTAGTACAAAAGACAATTTCATCTCACTTTGGATATTGTATACAGTTGGGATAACAAAAATAATACTAAAAAAAACCCCACAATATATAATACAATGGTAATATTTATCGGCTGCGTTCTGTCAGCAACATTTTAATAGAAAAGCATCATCTCCTTATAGCGTTCCAGATACGTTCTCTCCTGCAGTTGAAGAGTCAGTGCTGCTCTGTCATAGCTGCTTTCCATTCAGAAGAGTTCAAGTCCTCTATATTATTACAGCGCAGGTCCCCAGGATAATGGGAAAGTTGTGGTTTGACATCGTGCTTGAATTTTCAAGAGCTGTTATAGCGGGCTCTTAATGTGCACACATTGCAAGTGTGGAGATAACACATTCTATATGCTTTTGTCCTTAAATAACGTCAAGTTTGTGAATCTGTTTGGGAACAGAAACAGTTCAGGTGAATCATCTCGTGCTCCGTCGTTCCTCCTCGTGGCTGGTTTTCAGAAACCGCTGAGGGGGAAAGGTTACGAGGCAGCGCAGCAATAGCCGTCGCTCTGGAGAGGAACCAGATTGAATAAAAACAGATTCATTGGATGACTCCCGGGGCCAGCGAAAATGAGATGAGACAAGAGGATAAAATAGGGAAGTTCAAAGTTCAAAGGACTAGGAGAAGTCCAGCGGGCGGATCATCATGACCGTGGCTCGTAGCGAGTAGCTGGGGCCCTTGAAGTAGTGCCACTTGATACCGTTCAACTTCCCTATGTGCTGTCCTTGGGTGAAGTACATGCCGTTAAGGTTGGACGGGCCACAGGCATCAAACCACCAACCTTTGAAGAGAATAAGGGAAAATAAAACATATTAGTTGCAAAGCGGCGATGCCTTTTAGCAGAAGAAACCAGGCTTTGAGTAAGGCGTTGATGAAGTCACCTCTATCAGAAGTTTTTGTCCTTGGTAAAGGTTGACAGCTTCCCATGGCCTCTCCACAGGGCCATGGCACTGCTTCAGACACCATTACGCTGCTATCTGCTCAATGTGTTACTGTCATGGGTTCAATGGCATGCCGGTACCTGCTGCTGGACACTTTCGGTACCTCTTTCTATTTAAAGCAAAGGGTACACGTGCAGGAGCTCCAGTTTGACACCAGAGGGGTGAATGGCATGGGAAACTTATATTCCACTCCCAAGGTGACACATTTGGTCTGGTGCTCAGAGGAAGGGTACACGTGCTTGGACTTAGAGGACGGCTATTTCATAATTTAACACACACATTGGCTTCCTGTATCTTTCAGAATTAGCAGACTTTAGAAGCGTCTGAATGGTTTAGCACCGCCAAACTTATATTTACTGTTTCTCCCTCTACCTACCGGTCACTGAAGCAGTTAAGACTCAGAAGTAGGGAGATATCATGGACCAAATGTGTGGAACAACCATAAATATCTACTATGTAACTTCTGTAATTATAGAAATATATATTTCTGAACATAACATGTAATCCATCCTGAACTAGTGAACTCGCCCTCACTGATACAGTCTGATATAGAACATATGTGAGGCATGGCATGTGTCAGTCACGCGGGGACAAATGGCAGCTCCTCTCGTCTCTCTGGTCGGACCTGAATACCACTGCGGAATACAGTGTGACATTTCACAAGAGCTGTCAGTAATCAGGAGCAATGTTCTGCCCTTGTTGCTGGCGTGGATCGCGCAAGATATAAATTTCACATTGATTGCTGCTTCATCATGAGGCACGTACACAACATAGAAGGGGAACTGGTGGACACCTCCTTACATTTCCACAGCTGCTTATAATTTCAGTAAATGCTGGCGCCAGTGGGAACCAAATATTAACGAGCACTTGCTCTTCCATAATTTCTTAAGATTTTTTGGGGAATAGTCCTCAAGCTGGGGAGCTCTTCCAGAGGAGCTACTGCACCTGCCATCTTAACAGATGGACCAAAGTTGTGAAAGGTTAAAGCTGCTATCGTCAAAATGTATAAATTAATGATTGATTGAATTAATTTTTGTAATGTTAAAGTGGTTGCTTGTGGTGACGAATCCACAGAGAAATTGTCACCCAACTGTGCAGTTTCCCTCAACTCCACAGGACATTTCAGTCTTTCAGCTCATGGTTTTGGTTTGAAAGGCCGGCAGGCTTCTTGAGTTTCCAGCCACAGCAGGCACAGCATGTCAGCTCTAAACTACAATAACCGCCTCCGGGTTGTATGCCTCCGCCAACCACTCATGTTGCAGTTTCACAACATTCATTTCTGTTCAAAATGTCACCACTTTGTCATTTTATCCTGTTAGACATCTGTGTGCGAAATTGTCAAAATTAGCGTTTGAATTCTCGCGTTTGGGGCAAAAATGTGTTTGTGAGGGTGATCTCCAAAATCTAATCAGCTCATCCTTGAGTCTCGGTGGATTTTTGTGCCAAATTTGAGATATAGTGTTCACGAGAATGCAGGTTTAACCGCCCAAAATAAAAAAAAACACAGCTGTCGCCACCGCACAGGCATACTAATCCTCTGAACACTTCCTGCCCAACACCAAACGTCAGACAGACAAAGTTAAAGACTAGCTTCTAAACAGAGTGGAGCATTTAGCAGCTAAAGAGGAGATATTTCCCTCACGAGGTGGTGGAGACCAAAACAGAGCTAAAAGGTGAGTAATTATTGGACTTAAATTGACGAGACAGCTATCTGCTGAATGTGTAAATAAGCAATACGTTTTGACATGTGTTGAGTTTACAGCTTGTTTCCGCTGCCCTCATTTGGCCGAAAAAACATTGAAGCAGCTTTAAATAGGAAACTGAATGTCTGCGAGCCGATTAATCACAAAAGAGAGGCTGGGGTTCACACTAGGTAGTTTACGACACCAGCCACAAATAGAATGAAAACATTGTTGAAATAGGCGGTAGAAAAGCTAGCAGTAATGTCCTGTAGTTGATATAAGGATAGGATGGGGTTTGGTGGTATCATCCTAAAGCGTGTTGTGCAACCTGCTGTTTTATTTTATTGAGGTAGTGTTTTTTTCTCCTCTTAAACAGCGAATGTCTCCTACTTGCCATCCCTCGCTCGTTGATAAAGTGCAGACCACACAACGGCCGTCACGCCTATAAACATTTAGTGAGCACAGCAGCAATCTTTTGGGATTCATGACCAGTATCCTCTCTGTTTCCATGACAGATATCTTTCCTGACTTGTAAAAACAGTGGCAATGTCTTCTTTTGAAAAAAAAGAAATAAAAAAAAAATTCTGGTGCAGTTTGTTCTCATGATAGAGGGATCCCCCCCTACCTCCTACTGTCAGCACTTTATCCATACTGTATGTTCTGGTGTTGTGTAAATATATACATTACAGTTTGTGTACCCCCACTATATCCTGCTGCGTCTTCTTAACACGGCATGCTGCAGTTGTCCTCATGAATGTAGAAGAGAAGTATTTTCCTCTTGCATATTCCAGACACTTACATCACTTGATGTCAGCCCCGCTCTTATAAATGCAAGGGAATAAATCTAATGATATACTGTATATACTGCGGCGCGGTGCTGGGTTCGGACCAGCCTCAACTCAGGCTACATGTTGTCATGCCTCTCCTCTGTGGCCTGGCCAGAGGCAGGCCATGAATCAAGCAGAGCAGGGGGTGTTGATTGGTGATCAGATGCCAGTTCCCTTTAACCCACTGCATTCACAATGACCTAAGAGGTAATGCTGATCTTAAATCTGCACTTAAAATAAAATGCTTGATTCGTACCAGGTCACGATTCCACAGCTGTAGAGCTGCCATGAGGTGACAGCGAGGGTCACTGGGCTCCACTTACACAGCAGGAGAAGCGGAGTCATGTTAAATCTCACTGACACTTGGTGGTGCGCCCAGGGATTTTTATAATGTGCCTGTTTCCAACCACGGTGCAACTGGGAGGGGATGCGGAATATAGCCCTAATAGGTGCAGATAGATGTATAAGTGGCCATGTTAGCCCATTGCACGTCTCACAAGTGCAGGTTTGCGATCATAACAACCCGAACTAATGACCAGGCAATGAAAATTGTGGGGTTCGTCATGATGCCAATCAGAGAAAATTGCTTTTTGGAATGATTACATCATGCAATTGTTTTTCTTCTAAAAGCAATTCTGTACTGTCTCGCTGGTGCCATAGAGACACAAATGCTTATATGATCATACCGGTTCATTGCATCTTGGGTTTTTGTAGTTTAACCTAAGGTTTATATTGGTAATAATGACATTGTATACTCCCCGAGTTTATTGCTGAGACCTGAGAGGAAGAAGACATTGCTGAAAAGGAAGGCAAATGGTTCCACCTTTCGTAAATTGAAACAGTAAACAACTCTTATTTGATTGCTCCGATTTAAATATTCTTTGATTTTGAAAGAGTAGCCTTATGCTGTTGTTGTTATTGAACCTTTCTGAGGCTACTGCATGGTTAAATCTATGTCTTTTATTTATGAAAAATACTTGACCCCTCGCAATTTTTAACAGCCCTCAGTCACTTCAACCCGGTGCCTGGCCTGGGTATTGGAGTGTTCTGTAGCTAGTCAATAGTAATACAAGCCTATGTCTGTTTCATTGCGTATGCCTCCCACCAGCCCCTCCACGTTCCTTGAAATTATGGCCCTTGAAATTATGGCCCTTGAAATTATGGCCCTTGTTCTGATGCGTTCTGGGATCCATGGATCAGATGACTATACTGTATTAAATGTTTATGTTGCTGTTTGTTGTGACAAACCTACAGACAAACCCACTGTTCCATGGAACTTTCTTAGCATCTTTTAGCTAATTGTTTTGGTTTTTATAGCCTGTAATACTTCGTCGGTCTGCTGATTGAGGCTGGCAAGTTAAAGTGAACATAGTGGAGTGTTTAGCAGCTAAGGAGCCAGATATTTGGGTGGAGACCAAAAACGGAGCTAAAAGTAAAATGAATATTGGACTTACATTCATAAGGTGGCCAGAGACGTATAGGCCAAAATGAATGTAACTGCTTCTCTGTGTCTGCTGGCAATGTAAATAAGCAAATGTTTGCTAACACCTTTTCTAACTTTATTAGGTGATAATATGTCAATGTTGTGTTAGCAGCTTGTTGTGCAAGTGGCAAAAAAAAGATAAAGATCCTGATTCAACTTTGATCTACTGTACTTGCCACAGTCACACCGGGAGGTACTTGTAATATACAGGTGGTCCCCTCTTTTGCTATGAATGAAGGATTATCCCCTCTGTAAAGCACCACTTGGCTGCACTTACCACCAGTGAGCATGAGGGCACACTTGCACATGCAGTTGTCATTGTCCATGTCCTTGGTGCTGAAGTCTGCTCCGTGGATTACAAGACTGCTCTGTCTGCCTGCAGTCCCACTGTGGCTTTTCAGGAACAGTCTGAAAGACATGAGGAGGAGGAGGAGGAGGAGGAGGAAGAGGAGGGAGTCAGGACATGAAAACACATCAGGGTCGGAGGAATGGGGAGAGAGAGAAACGAGTGCGGTGGAGTGAGCAGTGTAAGCAATAAAGACAGCAAGAAGACATAACATGCTGCAAGAAATGTGTCCCGAGAGATATTTATTTTTTGTTGTGATTGAGTACATGTAGAGCACCTGGCACAACATTAACAGGGTGGAGAGAAAATAAAATAAAGAATGAAAGAGAGAGAGAGCGAGAGAGAGACAACGAGAGGAAAGAGCCATGTCGTGTAAGGAATGTCTGGGAATCACATTTCCATCCGCGGGTCCACAGAACGTTAATATACACCACAAATACTGACCTTTAACAGCTACACAGTCAAAAAGCAATAAGCAACCTGTTTAACCTATCATCCATCCACAGCGGGGCAGGTAGGGCAAACTCTCAAGTCTTTAGGATCCAAGTAATATGCAATATTTCTCTCTGTCTTGTCTTCATGTGTTTAAGTACGCAGATGCTACGTTTTATTTGTTTTTTTCATACATTCCTATCACAAGAAAGATACACACCACTACATACTTGCTGTCAGGTACAATTTAAAGGATTTTGTATTTAAAAAGCATGTCAGGGAGATCAGAAATGTATGTCATGAAAAACAAATATGTTATATTTTTAATACTTAATGTGTTAATATAATGTGTTTATTATTATTAGTTCATAATTTTTTATATTATCATTATTTCTATTATATTCTATTCATGTTCGATTATAACATATTTTAAAACTTCAAAATAAAGTAAAAATCCTTTGACAGTAAAAATGTCAAAGGATGCAGGCATGCAATAACTGTAGAGTGCATACTGTGCAGAACCTAGAATATGTTATTATCCTTATCAGGGCTGCTAAGCAGCATGCAAGTGGTGCGTCTACAGGCTGGTGCATCACACCGAGCTGCAACTAGGAACTCTTCATTTCTTCAGGAGTACCTTTCTATTAGTTACCAAAGTAAATTGGTACATCATCCTGGCAAACTGACAAGAAGAAGTTTTAGTTCAGAAAGAAAATATATAAATTGAATTCCTCTTTTTAGACTTTTTGTTACTAAAGTTTGAGTCTCTGTAGGTGGCACTATTGCCTTTGTCTGTTCAGTTTAGGCTGCCCAGTTCCTCTTCCTCTACCCCCAAAAAAGGTCCCTGCTGTTGTTAATGCACACTGAATAAATGGAGAGGTGCTATGATAAACAGCTTCCTCCGCACACACATTGGAAACGAATAGGCTGCTTAGGAGCAGATTTCTCCAGGGCGTGTCCCACTGTGAACTGCGGATCTGGCAGTTCCTTCATCCCTTCGAAACGGCTCCACCATCCCCAGCAGAACCTGCTGCATCCCACGCTTGTCTGTTTTTTATTTTCTCCTCATGTCTTTTGTTTCTCTCACGCTCTCTCGTTTTCAACTTTCTCCCGATAGAAGAGCTCGCGCATCCAAAGAGGAGGGACCGCAGCGCCGCGCCGATGAGGTCTCTATTATTAAGCTCGGTTCACTGTCAGTGAAAGCATTTCCCTGAGTTCACTTCTCGACAACGGGGGACCATGGGCGTGTAGTGAACCTTACGCCCCAGCTCAGATTTTTTCGGATGAGAAAGTAACATTATATTTCATGTTTTCGGCAGACGTTGAGCGACTCCTCGGGCTTTTGTGCAGCTTGTAGCTCTGAAAACAGCATGAATACCTCAAAGAAGGCGACTCCCTAAGAAAGAGTCATTTAGCGGGAAAAGACTTCTGTATTTGGACAGCTGTGTAAATGGCTGATTTGTACAGCAGAGTAAAAATGTGTGACTGCGGGTCACCGTGGGGAATTCACTAAGCCAGTAAACCGATGCGTGTAATCCTAAAATGCAAGGGTGGGTCATGTGTCTAATCAGTGGCACCAAACGACGAGTTTGGACAAGGGCCTGTGAGAATAAGCACATGGGTGTGCGTATAAATGCGCAGGTTCCTCTGTGTGTGTGTGTGTTCGTGTGTGTGTGAACAGTACGTCACGTGCCGAGGTGTCAACCGGTCTCTGCTCGGCAAACAGATGTCTCCGGCGACGCTTTCCAGTTCAGAGTAAACTGGCAGCGCACTGCCTCACTTATGGGAAGCATGACTTCTATCAGGCTAATTCCTGATTCCAAGGAATAAAACATGCAATGTCAAGGATGGGGTCTGCTACCGCTCTGATGAAGAACAGACTCCGCTGCGCACTCGCTCTCCGTTTTTCCAAAGCTCTTGCGATCTCTGCTGCGCTGACGGATCGCTGGGGCACATCATCACGAGGGATTCCCAGCATGACACTTTGACGGGCTGATTTAAATAGTCAGCGGCTGTGTTTACCGGCTGCGCTGCATATTTACGCAGACCGGCGATCCCCCCCCCCCCCCCTTCCCTCCCCAACTCAACCGACATCTGCAGTTGTTTTCTGACAGGATCCATTATGCACTCAGTGGGGTAACGTAAAGATGGGCCAAGTAATGAACTGAAGAGGAAGATTCCTGAGGCCTGTCTGTAAGGATGAGAGAGAAATAGACAGAGACTTGGAGAGATGGCGTGTGGTAAATCATGTTAATGAAATGGATCGGAGGGCCAGACACCAGGAGCTCAACGGGCAATGCATGCCAATCTGAACGTTCCTGTTTAAGTAACTCAGTAATGTGATTGATCAAGGCTCATTGGTGACCAAAACATTGAGCTGTGAGGGGAATCATTTGGTTTCACTCAATGAGAGGGAGATTGGTGTCCCGCCATCCAATAATTCTAATATCCACCGGGGATGTCGGCTTGTTTGCGATCTTTCGAAATACTTAGAAAGTTCAAATAGCAGCAGTGCATGCCAGCATTAAGATCAGTTCAGCCAAATTACAACAATTTACCCGTGGTGGGATCTGGTGATGCAGAGCTTTTGAAACATTTGAGCTGAGACTTCTGCTAATCACAAATACCACCCCGGTCAACTTAAACTTGTAGGTTTACTGGAGTCATAAAATACCCCCCCCCCCCCCCCCCCCCCCTCACAACACTCGGGGGCAAACTCACAAAAGGATGTGTGCGGCTGCTAACCGTGCACAAATAAGACGAGAGGAAACAGTGTCGTTCTCCGATGAAATGCACCTCGAACTGCGCTGCCGAGCAAAAAGAGTCTTGGTGCTCCTGTGCTATTTGTACATATATAAATGAGGTAATATGCATACATTTAGGGCAGAATTGACCCCTTTCCATGCAAATGAGCCTCATTGTGTTCACAAAAATGTAAAACATATAATTAAAACACCAACAGTACTGACTCTTCTAAAAACTTGTAGCCTGGGTTCTGAAAGTTTTCTTTTTCTCAGCCATTGTGCTTCTTGTGTCCTTGGATGCATAATTGCAATCAGATGCAAAAAAGGGCAAATTTCCAAACTTTACGAGTGTGTTTGCGCTGTTATGTCATTAGCGCATTATCCCACGGGGCGGATAGAGGTTCCAATTGATGCACAATTTACGGTGCCATCAGCGACCGCAGTCAATTCTTTATTAATTTGCCCGTCGGTGTGCAGAAGCTTGACGGTGGCCCGTGATGTGGTTCAGCATGCATTGCACCCTCAGATGCAGTTTGAATATGAATGCCAATTGCCAGCTGTAAGGCGCCCGGGACTGTGTGGCCATCTCCATGCTCGCTTTCTATTTTTGGTTCATGTATGGGCAGTGTGGCAAAGTGCAAAACGGCTATGTGAAGGTAAATATATCAAACAGTTATTATATTATATTAAATTAACACATGTGTCCTGCTACCTTCACATGCTGCAGGGGTTTCATGAACTGAAGGAGAAGCTTTCCGTGCAGTATAAACATATGAAGACAGCAGATACTTATAGAATCAACCACGTTCATAGATCAATGCAGACGGATTTACTGACTTTCCTGCTTTAACCACATTAGAGGTTATTTTCTGCACCCATTGTATTACTTTTGATACAAAGTAAAGAGTTAAGCAATATAAAACTTTTAATGAGTAAAACGTAACTCATTACACTTCCTGAGGAACTTGCCCAACGTCTACTTACTTCCTTATTGCAGAATAGCCAATTGAAGCACAGGGGGGCGGGACTAGGCAGAACACTTTTGAGCAGCAAGCCAAATTCTGCCATGAAACATCTACCTTTATCCAAAGATATAACATCTTTAGGACTACAAACGTCATTCCACACAGCCTGATTATGTAACAGGTGGCTGCAAATGTCTTCAACAGAAATACATTTTAACTTAAAATAAAACTAAAACTATTTGCGTGACTAAATAGCCCGATCTTGAGTATTATTACAGCTGCAAACTGTACGTGAGAAATGAGTTGCAGGGTCAAGTGAAGAATCAAAGGACTCTGATATGTTTATGTGAGAGCACTTCCAAGTAAATGACTGATATTCCATCACACTGTTTCTTCAACACATCATTGTTATCAAAATCATAAAAACATTTGCACTGTTTTTACAGGCACAATGAAGGCTTCACATATTTTTCGTTAAAAACCTTTCAATTAGCTGTGTTTGTAACTGTTGCCACGTCGGGCTCAGATCAGAAGGTGAATCAGAGCCGATCTCCCTATAAAGCACTTTAAAAAACCTGATATCAGCCTTCATATTTGTAGAAATGCACTTAATTGAAAGCAGAGCAGCGTTAAATGGAGGACTCCATGGAGGTGGTCCTACCAAAAAAAAAAAAAGATTCCCTTTCCCTCCTCACAGAGGAAAGACGTGTTGGATTGGCTCGGGGCCTCAGATCGGCAAACATGCCGCTTGTTCGCAGTCTTTTCTTTTATCTGACACTTCCCATTTCACAACACACTGTGTCACACTGAGCAGAGGATATTGCTGTCATACAGCGACTTTATGGAAGAACGTCTCCGGAGAGGTTACGGAGGAAAAGCCATAAAACAATGCGTCTAACGGAATGCATGCGCACGAAGGTT